GGGAGCCCGATGCGGGACTCGATCCCGGGACTCCAGGATCATGACCTGAGCCGAAGGCAGTCGCTCAACCAACTGAGCCACCCAGGTGCCCTGATAAGCTACTTCTTTACAGTAAGTCTGTGCAGTAACACTGGGAACCCCAGCCCCACCACTCCGTAGCTGTGTGACCTTGGGCAGGTGTGTCACCTTCCTCCGTAAGATGGGGAGAATACACCCCACTCCCAGGCGTGCTTACTGACCCACGATCTGCATCTGTGTGGGGCCCCATCCAGGTGTGTCTGCCCGAGAACGTGCTGAACCACGGCGTCACGCTGTGGGGCGCGGGCCCAACACAAGGATATACCTAACCACATCCACCCGAGTGAGCAGCCCTCCCTCCTGTGACTGAGCCACTGAAGGAAAGAAAGGACTGGCTCGAGACTTCATCCTGCACCCGAAGTAATACTCGTTGCGGCAGGCAACAATGCACAGTACCCGGCCCAGTCCTGGGTCTGTGCGGGGGCCCCGTACGCCGAGGCTGAGCCACCATCGGCCGTCAGCGCCAGCCCTGCGCTCCTGCCTGATCCACCTCCCCTCCAGGGCACCTCCTTTGCGGCTAAACATTAATAATGACGGGGGCCTCTGGAGTGGAGAGACCTGAGGCGGACCCCGTGGAATCCCTTCCTTTGCCTTTACTTGCCTCCAAACTGGTTTAAGCAGGTTCAAAGGGCACCATCCAGGCAGGGATTGGAGTGGCAGAGAGGGAAGGTCTGCCCCCATAATATGCCCAGTGGCCTGAAGGCACCCTGGGGACACTGTGATAAACCGAGATAAGTTGGGTTGGGGCCTATCTTTCCAGAAGCACCACGGTTCAAGCTGTCACTAACTCAGACAGATAGACCCAGGCTCAGTGTTACGGTAGGTCAGCCTCTGAAGGGCTGTTAAGATCATTACACCCAACTCTTTGCAGCAGAGAAGAACATGGGCTGCCCAAGGTTACCTGGTCACTTGCCGCTATCACGCCTCCACTCCCCAAGCCAACTCTGCCACGTGCCCAGCCCTGAGCATGGCTCAGGGAACTGCTGGGAACCAGACAGGCCAGGCCTGCTCTGAGGGCTCCTCCTCCCAGCCTGGGGCACTCTCTTGTGGCCTTTACTGTACTTCAGAGCTGGGGCTGGCTGGTGGTTGGTTTAGGGAGCAGCAGGCTCTGCCCAAGGTCTCAGGGACAAGCCATGGGGATCCCGGCAGCAGGGACAGCCCCTCTCTAGACATTCTCGGTGCCCCAGGGAGCTTGGGCGGCCCCAGCGTACCTGCTGATGTTGACAAACACAGCCGTGTTTTTCATCTGCTGGAAGAAGTCCTTGTTGCAGAGCCCCTTGGTTGCAGGGGTTAAGGAGCAGGCCACGATGATGAAATCAGATTCAGCAGCCAGCTTGGAGGTGGACACTGGGGGAGGGCAAGGTTCCATGAGATGCTGAGTCCCAGGCTGGAGACAGCAAAAGGATGGGAGACCAAACCCTTGCCTCCTCCTGCCAAACTGGAAACTCCCAAGATGCTTCCTGAAGGCCTCGTGTCCACCCAAACACCTCTGATAACTGACAGCTCCTGGTGGGGTCCTGGTGTACTACATCGTTTATCCAGCCCCCTGGTCTCACAGATGGGGAAACTAAGGCCAGAGAGGGGCAGGAGCTTGGTTCAAGGTCACCACCTTCAGGGTCCAATGTGCCAAAGGGGTGAGGAATGGCTAAGATCTAGGTGTCCTGTGCTCACGACACTGTGCACCCTCCAGGGGGCTGGATCCACTGGACACAAGGCTGGGGGACAGTGCTCACCAGTTTATTAGGGAAACCGGGTGTCCAAGTTCCCAGCAATTCCTTACGTCTGTCACCATCCCTGCTGCTCTGCCCAGGCACAGAAGGCGGTGACAAGGAACTCTGAGAGACAGGAAGCCTGGAGAGCTCTCAGGCATGAAGAGAACTCACCGTGTGGCCTGGGTACGTCCCTGTGCTCTCCGACTGGGCCCCTGCATCCAGGGGCAGGTGGCCTAGCTAGTACTTGAGGGACGCCACAGGCCCCAGACGCACCTGCCTGAAATGCTGCCACTATAGAAATACAGAGGCACCTCTAACCAGGCACAGATGGGGCTCCTGCGGAAATCAAGGTTTTACTTACCAAACTCTGCCTGGAATTCTGCAGCTTCCTGAGGCTTGGGCTGGCGCCCCGTGTACAGAAATCTCTGGACACCGAATGGCTTCAGACGCTGAGCAATGGCCTGGCCTGGAGGCAAAGAGAGTCCTGGCTCGTCTCCAATCCCTCAGAGGGCAGGAGCAGCACCCAGCAGCTCCAGGGACAGGGAGCCCCTGGGGGGGGGGGGTGGGAAGCATACTTCCGACTTTAACTGGTCCTGACCCAGTAGAACCAGCCCCCCACAGGCCCATACCACCCTTAGGGGACCATGTGACAGCCCTTCAGAGACCCAGAGGCAGCACCACCACTCCTCGGCAGTGGTGACTGGCTTTTCTGTCCTCACACGTCCTGGGCACCTTGAGGGCCATTTGCTAACCATCCCTGAGAACTGGGTCTGGCATCCCAGAAGCGGTCTGACCAAGCAGTCCCCTCCCTCCTTCTGGACCCTCTGCTTTTATTGACGCAGCCCAAGACCTCTTAGGACTTTTCGGTGGCCTGGCCAAACTGCCAACTCGCCCCAAATCTTTCAAGACATTTTCACATGTGCTGCTCAGGAGACAGGCTTGGGTTGCTGGATTTCCAGAATTGGAATGTGCCCCAAAGCTGGTGGGTTCCTCCAAGCAACTCTCCGGGGTGAGGCACTGCTGGCCGGCCAGACTGTCCATACTCTCCTGCCTCATCCTCCCCTCTGGACCAGGCTGATGTCGGACAGCCACAGACAGCTGCCCGGCTGAGCTCAAGCCTTTAGGCCAGACTTCTCCAAGCCGGGGCCCCTGGGAGAAAACTAGCTCTGCCCCGTCGGCAGAATCACAGGTAAGTTCTGCTCCCTGGACCCGCTGGTTCCTGAGTTAAAGCTTTACATTTTGGCAGGCCTGTGGGAGCACGGGCTGTCCCACAGGAAGCCCCTCCTCAAGACCCCAAGCCAGCCATCGCCACTTTCATCTGTTCTGTATGGAGCTGTGACCGTAAAGAATCCCGACTTTTCAACTTGCTTCTGTCACCTAGCCAGTTCTTGAGGAACTCCTATTTTCATTTCTTTTATTTTTTGTTTCTGCCTGTGTTTTATGAAGCTGGGTCTGGACAGCTACTGCATGCAAAGTGCACTGGGAACTTGGCCAGTGGTGGCCACTCTTTCCAAAGGATGGCCAACACCCAGACACCGGGCACCAGAGACTCAGACGAAGCCAAGGTTGCTGGGGCGGGCCAGAGGGAAGGTGGGGGCCTCACCTATGCGCCCCAGCCCGATGATGCCCACGGTGCTCCGTGTGAGTCCATAGCCACACATCCACAGGGGTTTCCATGAGGTCCAGCCACCGCTGTGGGGAGGGGAGGGGTGGGTAAGAGCCCCGGCCTCGGGCAAAGATGAGGGCTCTCTGTGAAAGAACAGACCCAGGACCCCCAGACAGGGACTGTGGTCTAAGGGGTAGAAGACTCTGCTCTCCAGCTCACAGGACAGTCCGTAGCATGAGTGACACCATAGCCACTGAGCGCTGTGGATGAGCAGCTACAATGACTCTTCCTTTAAAGCCACTGGACGACAGACTCCGAGGGCTGGGAGGGGCCTTAGAAGTTCTCATCCCATTTTGCAGATGGGGAAGCTGAGACCAGAACGGGTGCCCTGCCTGAGGCCACATCCAGCCAGGGCAGAGGTGGGAGCAGCAGGTTGCAAGCTCGGGATTTGGGATTCCAAAACCAGTATTCCCAGTGCCCCAGGGAAGCAACACAAAGTAAAGCCATAGGCCCAGCCATTGCCCTGGGTGGACAGGGGGATGGAGGCTGCCTTGAGCCACCTCCGAGAAGGGTGCCAACACCCCGGGCAGGAGGGTGAGCGGGACGTGTGGCACTGTGTCTCCTCAGCCCAGCGCTGCCCTCGGTGTCTGCCTCGGCCCCAGGCCCACCCCGGGGCCCCAGCTCCTGGTCCACAAACGCCAAGGGCCTGCACAGGCCCATCTGCCGGCCTCCCTGCAGCCGCAGTGCCTTCCCGAACCCTCTATAACACACAGACCCAAATCCCTGATCTGAAACCCCCGGGCCAGGGTTTTCAATTTTCCGATTTTAGAAAGGTTGTCTGGTGCATATTGTCTAGTCTATATAACAACACCCTCAGCAGTGTCTAGGGTGGTACCTGTTGTCAAACACACCAGTTATCTGCAGCAAAACATGCATATTCACACAGCGTGAGAAAAATAAAGATCATAAATAGCCTCTTGTCATTTCCAGTCAGGTTTTGCCACCAAAAGATTTATGAAACCACCTTCAGTTTTCCGAGCTTCTCGGATTTCTGCATCACGAGCAAGGATGCAGGACCCATCTCCTCAACGTGCTCAAGAGGATGCCCACCTGCTACTTCTCGTGGGAAGCCTCTGATCCATACCCCTGCCCCTACTTCCTCGCCAACCAGGCAGGACTGATCTGGCCCTCCCTATCCTCCTCTCTCACAATTTCCCCTCAAAGCCACGATTCCCCCACATTTCTCTTCAGCTCTGCCCTGTTCCTCAGTAGTCTGGCTGAGTCTGTCCCTGCTCACTAGATGAGGCACCCCCGGGGACAGGGATCACATCCGGGCCAGGGGGACGCCGGGGGCTCAGGAACCAGCTGCCGAGCACAGCCAACTTTCCTGTCAGGGGTTCACTCACTTCTTCACCTCCTCGATGGCTTCTGGCAAGCGGCGACAGGTGGTGAGCAGCAGGGACATGGCGAGTTCTGCCGTGGCGTCTGTCAGGACATCTGGGGTGTAGCCCACACGGATGCCGCTACGAAGCCAAGATCTGGTGGTCACCCAGGCCTCAGGCACCTTCACCAATTTCTAGCTCTGGGACATCTCCAAGCTGCTGCTCTGCTCCCTCTTTGCACTGCCCACCGGGAAGCTCCGAGTGGTAAAGGAGCAACTCAGGGACGGTCAGCCTCCTTCCTGGTTCGCTTCTCTCCCGCGTGGCGAAGGACACGAAGATGAAAGGTCACGGCCCCAAGTCTGGGGCAAATAACTACTCGACCTTTCTGAATCTCCAAAATCTAACAAGGGAAGTAATACTACTAGTAGCCTTTCCTACTTCAAGGAGTTGTGGTGAGGGTCAACAACCAGGCTGAACAGGAAAGGGAGCCACCTGGCAGATGCAGTTACCCACAGCTCCTGACGGTTCGGGGCCTGTCGTACCTGCTCTGTGCTCACGCGGACGGACTGCACGCTCAGCCCCCTCCCAGTCTCACTGAAGGGCGGAGGGGGCTATGAGCAAATAAAGACCCAGCTCCCTCTCCCGCTCTGGGAGCCAGCCCTCACCCCAGGCCCCTTCCAGAGCGCAAGCTGCTTTTACCGCTTCTTGATTTCCTCCAAAGCCAAGTGGTCAACGCCCACAGACATGGTGCTGATGACTTTGAGATTGCCTCCTGTTGTGCAGAAAAAGCACTGTTTGTATCTTTCCTTGTGGGGTTCCAACCCACACCACTGGGGATACCATGGGGCCAGCTGCTTGTTAGTATTTTCTGAGAGTAAGAGAAAGGCCGACATCTCTGTTCCTCACTAGAATCCTGAACAACCCTACCTGACAGACTCGACCATCCGACTTGACTCCTCCATGTGCAGACGCTGTGGCTCAGGGAGGTGAAGTGGCCGGCCCCAGTCACAAGCTGCCGAGTGGCAGAGCTGGGCTTCGCGCTGGGGCCTCTGACACCAAGGCCTCCACTCCTACCCACAGGAATGTTCCCTCAACAAAGCCTCCAGTCTCCTTTGACCGCACCTGGGGCCCTGCTGTGGACACACTGGGGTGTCCGCTGAGAAGTGGCCGGGGTGCAAGGACGGAGGACCTATCTCCTCAACGTGCTCAAGAGGATGCCCACCTGCTCACACCCTCTCTACGGGGCAGGGCACCAGAAAGCTCCAGGGCCGAGGCTGGGGCATGGATTGGCTCAGCACTGACTCATGAGGGTTCTCCCCATCTGGCAGCCTCTAAGTCTGAATCTTTCCTCAAAACGACTTTCTAGGGTGACATTTACCCTGGCCCAGGGCTGGGCCCCGTGACTAGCGCTAACACACCCTGGGTGCCTCCTGGTGCTTGGCACTGAGACGGGCCCTCCTGCAGGAGACAAATGAGCCCAGGAGGGACAGGGCCTTTCTCGAGGTCATAAGCAAGGCTGTGGCAGGGCTGGATAAGGGCCCAGGGACTCGGGTGCTCCCTCCACACCACCCTTTGCCCTGCTAGCTCCCTGCAGGGATTCGCAGCCAGGAGAGGAGCAATGCCCGTGACAGAACTGAGAGGTCACTGCGGGCCCGTGGGGGGAGCCCGCCACAGCAGACTGATGTGCCCTACGGGGCCAAGACACCCTTGGAATCCTCCCCAGCCCTGCCCAGTGCACACACCTGCAGCATCCAGGAGGCTCTTGTCCACTCGGTCAGAGAGGAGGCAAAGTAGGCCGTGGGCCCCCACCACACCTCGCTCCAGCTCCTTGGCAGGGATTGGCTCATCTGAATCCCAGTGCTCCACCTCACAGCTAAAGACCAAAGAAAGACCACTCAGAAGCAGCGGAGCCACAGATGCCCCCAGGCTCCCGAAGGCCCCCTGGGACGGCACCTCCCTCTCAAAGTGAGAAACACTGCCTTCTGCTTGCTCCAGCCTCAGGCTGCCTGGGGCTGGCTGAGGAGTCAGGGTCAGGCTCGGGCGGCCTCAGAACTGTCCCGAGAGGGTGGCTGAGGGTAAAGGGCTGTCACAGAGTGGAGGTCACCAGAGCCTGACCAGAGCCTAGTCTAAAAGGAGAAAGTCATGGGGACAGCTCTCAGCTCAAAGCAAGGAAGAACTTTATCACCCTCACAGGAGGCCTCAGGGCCAGTGGGGGGCGGTGGCTTGAGGTGGGCAGTCCCTGCACCAGTTGAGGCTTGACTGTCCTGTCCTGGGAGTCCATGCCACGGGAAAGTCTCCTACTTGCACTCTGCCGGGAAGGATAAGATCAAAGCAATGCACCGTGGAGGAGTCTGAGGGCACACTTCCACCACAGCTCGTGAGCAGTGGAGGCGTTCCCACGGGCGCTGCCCAGCCTCCCAGTCCTTGCCATTTAATTCAGTGCCCCCATCACATATAGCAAGACACAGGGCGGCGGCCGGCACCTCCCAGAACACCCTGCTGCAGCACCTGGCTGACCAAGGGCCTGGCACAGGCCACCCTGCAGCCTCCTTTCCACGGGCATGGCACTCAGAGCTAGAGCTGCTCGAGCCCCGGCCATGACTGCCGGCCTTTCTCTTACTCTCTTACTCTCCCCCGCCGCCCCCAGTGCTTGCAACCTGGCAGGTCCTTGACAAAGGTTTTGTTGCACTGAACAAAACAAACAAATCTCATTTTTGCATGGCCCTGGTTTCTGAGCCCGGGTTCCACCTTCTCCCTGCCAGACACTGGCTGCACAGACCTGGGTAACACAGTGTTCCCGCTGCAGTCAGACAGGCTGAGGTCCAATCCCAGCTCTGCCACACTGTAGCTGTGACTTTGGGCAAGGCACTTAACCTCTCCCAGTTTGCTCATCTGTAAAATGGGAATTATAATACCAACTTCAGAGTGTTGCAAGGATTAAGCATTTATGTCTACGAAGAACCTGGAACACTGGCATGTTAATGGTCATGAGAGGCCCCTGCCAACTATCCAAAGGGACCAGGCCAGTGACTGCGAAGGTCCCTGACCCTGCCAAAAGTGACCTCAAGGGTAAAGGATTAACAGCCTGGATCTTGCGTCACCGGCGGCGTCCCGTCTCCCCAGGCCTTTCCCTTCACCCGCACTGCACGTGCCAGGGGAGCTGCGGGTCCCGGCGTCACTGCAATAGGCTTGGACAAGGCTAGGCCGCAGAGAACTTTTTTTAAGCCTCCCAAAACTCCATGACCGTCCAGGCCGGGCACAGGTTGGCAAGGCCGGCCAAGACGCAAGCGCAGGATCCGGGCTCCCTCTGGGCCCTCCCCACCAAAAATAAGGGGTTCAGGAGGCCGCCCCCAGCCCGCCCCGGCCCGCCTGGAGACGCTGAGTCACCCAGTGTGCGGGGTGTCGGAGATCCAGGGGAGGGCCCGAGCTCCGCAGTCCCTTCCCCGACACCACCCCCAGCGCCAGCCCCGGCCCAGGGACTCGGCGTGCGGCGGGGGCGCGGCGCGCTTACTCTGCGGCCCGGGCGAGCGCGGCCCAGCCCTCGGGGGGGATCCTGCGGGTGACGAACACCTTCATGAGTCTCACTGGCCTCATCCACCTTGCAACTGCGGAACACTGACCCGGACCTCCAGACGGAAGCGGGACGCGACGGGAGGCGGGGCGGGGCCTCGCAGGGGGCGGGGCCGGAGCTGGGCGGGCGGGGTCGGGGGAGGAGGGTAGAGAGGGGGAAAGGTTGGGGGGAAGTGGAGGTGGGGGAGAGGGAGCCTGTGGGCCTCGAGGAGCGGGACTGTGTGTGTTCAGGGAGTGGCAGTGACAGTGTGACTGTGGGGTGTAACTGTGGCGCCCCTAGGTGTGTGTCTCGTGAAGCTGTGTGCATGATCAAGCCCTCATGGAACTGGGACTTGTTCTGGGGGCCTTGGTCCTTGGCCCCCAGGGCCCCCCTCAGGGATTGGCAGGTGTGTCTGGGGTTGGAGTTGGGGTGGGTAAAGGGGCGTCCAGGAGAGTCCTGTGTGAGTATGTGTGGACGTCTGTCAGGATGCCTATAGCTGTCGAAGTGTGTCTGTGTCTGGAGAGGGGAGATGCAGTCAGGGACCATCCTAATTCCCAGGGCCTGAGCACCCTGGTGGTCCTTGCTAGGTCTGTTCCATTATGGTCACACTGTTCCCGGCAGGGGCCTTTGGTCACAGACTGGGCTCTGAGCCAGGCCTCTGCCTTATATACTCAGGAGGCTGGACTGGGGCAGTCTGAACCCAGGCATGGCCCCTTTAGTATCTGGTGCAATTCCCCCATATGAAACCCACAGCTGTGGGGGGCAGTTTAATTGGTTGTGGGCCACTTGGCATGCTGGACAGCTGCTGGCCGGCTGGAGGCAGGTCATGCAGAGGGCCAGGGTGCTGGATAGGGCCATGTGGAGTCACGGGCAGACCTGGGCTTTGCAATCCGATGTACCTGGGTCTGAATCTCAGCTCTGCCACTTACAAGCTGTGTCCTCTTGGTCAGTTCACATCATCTTTCTAAGCCTCAGTTTTTAGCTACAAAATGGGGTAAGGAGCACTTACCTTTCAGGGTTATTGTGATGATTAAACCAGCAATGTTTGCACAGGCCCTGGGCCATTGTAGGTGCTCATCAAGCTCAGGCTCTGGAGCCATTGTGCATGGGCTTAAATCCCAGCTCTGCCACCCACTGACCAGAAGTCAGTAAACTTCTGTGTGTCTCAGTTTCCTCATCTGTGAATTGGGAATAATAGTAACACCTGAATCATGGTTTGTTGAAAGGATGAACTATGTATCGTCCTGTGTGTTACCACAGCATATAACACATGGGGTGCTTGCCTGACAAAGGGTGACACAGCCAAGGAGACCCACACCCTGGTGCCCTGAGGCTGGCAGCTGGTCAGAAATGGAGATGCCGGAGCCCAAATGAGGATAACTGGGAGGGGCCCGGGCCTAGGAGCACCCAGAGGACAAAAGCCCTGCCTGGCAGTCTCTTCCCGCCAGTCTTACCAGAATCCATTTCTGCCCCCTCAGGGCCCAGAAGGGAACCAGAGACAGGCACAGGGAGGTAACACGTCCAGTTTGGGTTCACACAGCAAGGCACTGGAAAGGCCAGAGCCGGCGCTCTGGGTCGTCTGCACCCCTGGCCAGTGCCGCACTTTGCCATCTCCCCAAGTCACACATTAATAAATGCCTAACCCACAGATGGTGATCTGCATTGCAGGGCCATCTCAGGGACAATTTCTGAAATACTTCAAACATTGACACAACGAGGTGTTTTTCTGTCTCCAGCAAGGTCCTTGGGGGGAATGACACAGCTGGGTGGCTCCAAACTCTGTTACTCAATGGTGAGACCTGAGCGCAACTCCTCCCACACGCCAGGACAGGCGAGGACACGGGGTAAGCCTGTCCACCGGGGGCGGGAGGGGGCATGACACATTAATGGGCCCCCTCCCCTAAAGCAGAGCACCCAGCTGGTGCTCAGTATGTGCTACTGGGCAGGAGGTGTGAGCCGGAACAGAGAGCCAGCTGAAGGTCCCTGAGGAGGGAAACTGTGAAGTGGTAGGGAGAGAGGATCTGAGCTGGAGAGGGGTTCACTGGGTACAACTAACCGTGGAACGAGTCGCTAATATTGATGGAGCTCTTACTAAGTTCCAGGCACTGGACATGGGAACTCATGAATTTAAACATCTCAACCCCTTTAGAGTTGTGCTGTTATTCTGCCCACTTCACACATGAGGAAACTGAAGGCAAGCATGGTGAAGTTCGGGGAGCCTGGCTGGCTGGATCGGTGGAGCATGCGACTCTTGGTCTCGGTGTTGTGGATTCGAGCCCTATGTTGGGTGTAGAGATTACTTAAAAATAAAATCTTAAAAAAAAAAAAAAAGAGTGCTGAAGTTATTTGCTTAAGGTCATACAGCTGCTAGGAGGCAGAGCTTGGATTCAAGTCCCAGCACCCCAACCCCAGACCCAGCACCCTGACTCCAGACCCAGGCTCTTAACCACTGTGCAAGTCTGTGGGAGTGGACAGGATGTGTTAATCCGTTAGGGCTGCTATAACAAAATGTCATATATTGGATGGCTTTTTTTTTTTTTTTTTTGACAGAGAGAAAGAGCACGACCAGGGGGAGCAGCAGAGGGAGAGGGAGAGGGAGAAGCAGACTCCCCGCAGAGCAGGGAGCCTGATGCGGGGCTTGATCCCAGGACCCTGGGATCATGACCTGAGCCGAAGGCAGACGCCCAACCAACTGAGCCACCCAGACACTCCTACTGGGTGGCTTAAACAACAAACATTTATTTAACACAGTTCTAGAGGCTGGAAGCTCAAGGTCAAGGCACAGGCAGATTTGCTGTCTGGTGAGGTCTTCCTAATTCATAGATGGCTGTCTTCTGGCTGTGTCCTCACAGGGTGGAAGAGGCAAGGGAGCTCTCTGGGGTCTTTCTTAAAAGGACACTAATCCCACTGGTGAGGGCTCCACTCTCATGGCCTCACCTCCTTTTTTTTTTTTTTTTTTTAAAGATTTTTATATATTTATTTGACAGAGAGAGACACGGCAAGAGAGGGAACACAAGCAGGGGGAGTGGGAGAGGGAGAAGCAGGCTCCCCGCTGAGCAGGGAGCCCCATGTGGGGCTCCATCCCAGGACCCTGGGATCATGACCTGAGCCGAAGGTAGACGCTTAGCCAACTGAGCCACCCAGGCACCTCGATAAAGTATTTTTAAATTAAGTTATGTACATTGAGTTTTTTTTTAGATGTAATGCTATTGCACACTTAATAGACTGCAGTGTAGTGTAAACACAACTTTTATATGCACTGGGAAACAAAATAATTAATTTGACCCATTTTATTGTGATATTCACTTTATTATGGTGGTCTGGAACCAAACCCACAATATCTCCCAAGTATATCTGTATATACTTTTGTCAAATGCCTTTCTGCATCTACTTAGGTGATCATATGGTTTTTTTTCTTTAATCTATTAATATGGTGTAATGGTAAATTACCATTATCAATGTTCTAATTTTTTTTTAAAGATTTTATTTATTTGTGACAGAGAAAGAGCACAAGCAGGGGGAGCGGCAGAGGGAGAAGCAGGCTCCCCACTGAGCAAGAAGCCTGATCTGGGGCTCGATCCCAGGACCCTGGGATCATGACCTGAGCTGAAAGCAGACGCTTAACTCACTGAGCCACCCAGGCGTCCCTACATGTTCTAATATTAACCCATCTTTGTATTCCTGGTATAAATTCAACTTCGTTATGGTAGGTTATCTTTTTCATACACCACTGGATTATTTTAATAACGTTATTTAGGATTATTATGTCTATATTCATGAGTTAAATGGGCCAACAATTTTCTTTTCTCATGCTTTAGTTGTCTAATTTTGGTATTAAGATCATACTGACCTCAAAGAATGAATTTGGAGTATTCTTATTTTCCTATTTCCTGAAAGAATTCATATACAATTGGGATTATCTATTCCTAGAGATATTGGTAGAATTCACCTATAAAATCATCTAGGCTTTGAGTGTTCTTTGTGGAAAGTTTTCAATTATCGCTTCAATTTCTTTCATAGTTTTAGGGTTATTGAGAATATTTTTTCCCAGTTTTGGTAGGAATTTGTCTATTTCTACTAAGACTTCAAATTTGTTGGCATGAAGTGGTTGAGAACATTCTCTTATCTTCTTTATTTTAATAATAATCTTATTTGCAAATACAGCTACATGCAAAAGCAAAATCTTCAGGTATTTGGCTGTCTTGATCTTATTTTTAAACCTCCGTTTTAACTATAATTGTGTTATTCTTTTCATTTATGATGTTACTTACTGTAGCTTTCTTTTCCTTGATCAGTCTTCCCCAAGATGTGTCTGCTTTGTCTATTGAGAGAATCAACTCTTGGCTTTGTTGGTCTCCATTGCCTTTTTGTGTTTTATTTTGTTGATTTTGTTTTGTATCATCTTCCTTATATTGTTTTGGGGTTTATTGTATTTTTACAAAACTTCTTAGGTTGGACACTTTAGTCATTAATGTGCTCTGAGGGTATTTGCCTCCCAGCTGAACTCCAGCTGGTTTTGAAGGAACTGTGGGATGGGGACCCCCCTCCACCCCCGCCCCAAAGCAGGACTCCAAAGACCTAAGTTTGGTGCAATTTTGCTTTCTCCCCAAACTATAGTAGCATGATATAAAAAGGAAAAAAAAAAAAACCCCACAAAGAGGAAGAGAACAATAGAGGAATCATCAGCCACAGCATTTTGCAAGCTGGAAAGTTGATGGATTTAACAGGCCCAAGAAAGCCAAATCCCAAACTTGAAAAAGAAGCTGATGTATAGAATCATGCACAGAATGATGCACAGAATCATGAAGAGGCCCCAGAAGCAGGCACGCCAATTATCTCAGAGCTGGGAATGGGCCTTAATAAGGCCTTAATAGGGCCTTAATTGGGGGGACAGAAGAAAGATCCTACAGGTTTGCAGAGAAAAAGTAGATTTGACGCAAAGGATTATGGCTCAAAATGCAATGGATATTTCCAATTGCATCAGTGGAAGCCAGAACACGATGGAATAGTAATATGTTGAACATTTTCATCGGGAAATTTTGTGGTTAGA